CATTTCATAGCCCTCCACCTTATGGTTTTAGCCCACTTACCTCCATATCAAACACATAGTTCACTATTGTAATCATTGTATCAATTAAGGTTTTTGTTCAGGAAAATGAAACCGAACAGACTTACTACAAGGAATTCGGTGTTTATAGGAATTGAATGTGTACAGAGAATTAAGTGTTCACACAAGGGAATTAGGTATTTACAAAAACATCAAGAGGTTGCCGTTGGACTTTTTGTTACATGATCACAATACCGTAACTATACCATAAAGAAAGAACAAAACCTTGCTATAGTCGCAGCCACTACCACTGCCACATATCTCAGATGGTTAGTGACAAGGGAGCAGAACATTCAGCCTGTCTCAGGTAAAAACTGTCCTGTCAGAACTTGCTGCCCCTACTACCCCCCAGATGCAATGTGAATGCAACTAATTCACTTCTCCACACCTAGTTTCCAAAGGGAACTAAGCCAAATGATTTTTAGCCTTTTGATCTCTCCAAGAGGACAGCAAAAAGAGGCATTGGGAAACAAATTCAAGTTACCACTATAGTTTCTGTGTCGTTAATGTCTGTATAGTTTCATGTCTCCAATGTTCCTCAGCAGTCTTGGAACTTCTCACCCTCGAACTGCATGCAGTCCTCACGTGCTCAGCTAATGCTGTAATTCTACCAGGGTCCTTTAAGAATTATGCGAAGAGAGACACATGGTGCTCACCTTACGGGCCATTATCATTTACTAGGCTATAATTTATCTCCTCTCAGTCAAGTAATATAAAAAGGAATTCCTTAAGCAGCATGTTACCCTTCCTGAAAAACTAAAATACTTATTCAAAGTTATCTTTCATCAACTAGGCACCTCAGGTCTCTTGCTGTGGAGGGCATAGTTACAGACACTGTTAACTGCCACCATTCTGGGCCACCACCATGTCTACGATGAGGTCGCGCTTCCCTAGGATGTCCTCAGCTCATGACTGAGCGTGGCAGAAATACTAGTGTTGATCCATTGTGATGGGACTTGGACTCCTTCCTCTAGAGGGCAAGTCTGGCTTGGGAGCTCCCTATTTTTTCTGGCTGAAATTTTAAGAGTTGTAGGCACTGCAGTCTGAGACACTACCTGCCTAATCTTTCTTCTTAATGCTCTCTGTTTTCAGATATGTCAGAACTGGGTCGCGTGCCGTCTGAAGGCCTTCTCTGCCTACTCCTACTTCCGTTTGTTCTTTGCAGGAGTTTTTCCAGCAAGTATTTTGAAAGACCGATCTCATCTTGGTGTCTGCTTCTCGGACGACCTGAACAAATACAGTTACTTTAAATATTATATTAGAAATTGTTTTAAAGATGGTGAGCATGGAATTTCCATCTCTACTGATAATAAGAGTGGGCAAAATCGATTAAGAATAAATGAGTGAAGTTACCTCAAGAAACATTATTAAATGTAAAGTCACTTAGATCCTGATATGGGATGATATTGAAAGACAAGTTAGAAATATCCTTTTTAGAGAGCTTCAGGAAGAGTAGAAATCTAAATATATAAATATAATGCACAAGTCTACGAACATTCTCCCTGATAACAGAATTGTTTTTGCTGCAGGAGTGAAATTGTGCTGTTGAACTGTTGAGGTTAACTCTACAACCCTACTGCTAGGTTTGGACAGATAAGCCACATGATGGGTTAACTCTACTCAAGGTTGCTAATCATCATTTATCACATGTATTTGTAAATGCATTTTGGATTTCAAATATGGAACAGAATTTGTAATGTAGAAACTACCTGAGCTTACTGTTGTTAGTTCAGTAAATACAAAAGTTAACCTTTTCCAGAGGGCAGTCCTTTCAGGGTTGTGGTATCTTTAGGTTATCAAACCTTTTTCTCATTTCCCGCACTGACTCCCCGGTATTCTTATCACTAATTAACCTCTTACTTTGGTATGGAACCTTGGCAGTTCTGCCCCCTATTGTAGATTGTTTAATGGAGCACTACCCCTTTATCCAAGGGTCTGCATTCCAGGGTGTGTGCTGAATTCTGTAACACAAGGAATTTGATGCCAATAAAATGTAACAAGAACAAAGAAAAAAATCAACTAGTCACATTCAATATTCACATTCAACCATTGTCTTTCTGCAATAATCATATTATAATTTGTGAACTTGTTTAGAATGTGTGATTTTTTTTTTGCTAATATTGGCAAGATTCTTTCCATAAAAAATATCAGTAGTTTAGATAGGAAATACTTTAAGCAATTATATTTGGAGTCTAATCACTGAAATAAATCAAACATAAATTTTAATATGTAAAATTGTCTCTCAGATGACAATATATATTATATATTTTTAAATTATATTTATAATTTCAGAGATTTGTTATATTTGAGATTTTTTCCCCACTCTCTCAGTTCATCTTTAAGCTTATCCTGAGTGTGTAAATGATTCTAAACACAATTTCCCTTCTGTCTAAGTTTTATGAACTTCTAGGAGCCTCAGTATCTATTTTCTTAGGAGGGCTATATTTGTATAAATGTATTAAGCTTGATTCTTCTCTGAAAGCAAATATTATCACATTTATTATTCCCAGTTGGATAATAAAACTTTAAATAATAATCTCTATATAAAAACTTTTCCTCCCATGGTTCTAAATAAAAGAAAATCTGCTTCTTTATTTACTTAACTTTTGGTGGTGATGAAATAAATACACCATCAGCCAAAAAGTGATGATGACTGTCTCTGTTATTTTTCTCTTTTTTCTCTACAGGTTGTGTTTTATATGAATGTGGATATGATGTGTCCTAGGAACATGACATCTTGATTAGGTTAGTCTTTCAAGACAGCTTTAAAGAATGTTCATACTACCGAATCCTCAGGTCCTGACATTATATTTTTGGTATTTCTTGCTTAAGCATTGATGAAAATAGGATCTTTTTTTGCTTTTTTGGTGACCTTTGGTAGATAAAATTGAGTTCTGGCTACCACAGAAACGTTGTTGTTTTTTTAATGTGACTTATATGAAAAGTGAAATCAGGGAAATGCCTAAAATGTCTTTTGAGGTGAGGNTGGCTACCACAGAAACGTTGTTGTTTTTTTAATGTGACTTATATGAAAAGCGAAATCAGGGAAATGCCTAAAATGTCTTTTGAGGTGAGGACAGGGCAATATCAAAACAGCAGTTAAGAGACTGCTACCTGCTGTGCTAATAAGGCATCTGATATACTATAAAGCATTATTAAAAGAGATTAAAAACACACAATGAAATGGAAAGATAATCAAAGCAGCATGATATTGACAGAAAAACAGACACACAGACCAATGGAACAGAATTGAGAGCCTAGAAATAAATCCATATGCATATGGGCAAATAATTTTCAACAAAGGAGCCAAAAGCATACAATGGAGAAAAGAAAGCTTCTGCAATAAGTGGTGTGGGAAAATTGGAAAGCCATGTGCAAAAGAATGAAACTAGATTGCTGTTTGTCCCCACGTACACAGATTAACTTAAAATAGATCAAAGACCTGAAACAGTACATTACATATAAGAAAACTTAAATACTAAATGTATGAATCTTGGTCTTAGAGAAGATTTTATTAATTTGACCCCAAAGGTAAGAGAAGTAAAGGCAAAGGTTGGTAAAAGGGGGGGAATGGGAGACATGTATAATAATGTAAACAAAAACCCACAAAACGCCTCCACTTACTATCAAAACTTAAAAAAAATAAATGAATGGGACTCTATCAAACTAAAAAGCTTCTGCACAGCAAAAGAAGCTGCCAATAAAACAAAAAGGCAACCAGCAGAATGAGAGAAGATATTTGCAAACAATGGGTCTGACAAAGGGTTAATATCCAAAAATATTTAAAGAACTCATACAGTTCAACACCAAACAAACAATCCAATGTAAAAAATGAGCAGAGGCCATGGACAGACACTTCTCCCAAAAAGGACATACAAATGGCCAACTATGAAAAGATACTCAACTTCACTGGATATTAGAGAAATACAAATCAAAACTACAATGAGATCCCACCTCACACCTGTTACACGGGCTATTATCAACAGGCCAAGTGATAGCAAGTGTTGGAGAGGTTGTGGAGATAAGGGAACCCTCATTCACTGCTGGTGGGAATGTAAAGTGTGCAGCCACTAGGGAAAATAGTACGGAGGTTCCTGAAAAAATTAAGAATAGAGTTACCATACGACCCAGCAACACGTCTTCTGGGCATCTACCTCAAAATTTTGAAAACATTTCTTTGCAAAGATATGTGCACCCGTGTGTTCACTGCAACATTATTCACAGTGGTCAAGACATGGAGACAACCAAAGTGTCCTTCTATAGATGACTGGATAAAGGAGATGTGTTACATATATACAGTGAAATACTACTCAGCCATAAGAAAAGATGAAATACTGCCACTTGCAACAACAGAAATGGACCTTGAGAATATCATGCTAAGAGAAATAAGTCAGACAGAAAAAGTTAAGAACCATTTCACTTATATGTGGGATATAAAACTGAAAGCAACAAATGAACAAACAAGAAAAACAAACAAACAAAGACTCATAGACACAGACAACAGTGTGGCGGTTACCAGAGGGAAGGTGGGGTTGGGAGGGCAGTAAAGAGTGAAAGGGGTCAAATATACGGTGATGGGAGTTGATTTGACTTTGGGTGGTGGGCACACAATGCAATATACAGATCATGTATCATAGAAATGCACACTTGAAACCTATATGATCTTATTAACCAATATCACCCCAATAAGTATAATTTTTTAAACAACAGAGGTTAGAAGTCTCATTCTTTTTATAGAATACCTATAGTAGAGATTTAGAGAGCTCTAATAGTGGACATGTTTTATCAGTTAGTACATTATTTATTTATGCAAGAAACAATGTCTTAAATAATTTTATTATCTAATCTGAATATATGTAATTTTTTGCAAATATATATTGGCACCAACTACATGAATTCGAACATTCACTTTCAAAATTTTTTTTATTTGGTTTAGGTGTCGGCAGTCTTCTACCGCAGCAGGTGAGGTCACTGCCAGAGCAGGCTGGCAAACTTCTGAATCAATGGCTTTTCCTGCACCATGCCTGACTCCTGACCCAGAGGGTAAGACCGTGATTCCTTTTGGCAAATAGAGGAAAAGGGCCTAGAGTTTTCAGATCCATGTATCTGCTGCCATTAAGGTGTTTATAGCAAATAATAAAGGAAGCTGTATAATTAACCTGGTGTAGTAAGCTGAATGTTGGTCTGCCAGGTTGGGCCCCTCCATTTACATCTTGGCCTTTTTCTGACTATCTGTATACTATAGGCAAAATATGTCATTTTCTACAGTCATAGCCTTTTCATCAGGAAAATGAACTGTTCCTATCAATGATACTCAGCCATAGTTCTAGAATTGTAATTCTGTGGAATTTTTAATGAACAAATTATTTTTTTTTAATCTCTGAAGAACGGTGGAGGAGCTCTACGTGCTCTGCTTGCCAAAATGATCATAGTGTACACAATTGGACAATCAATTATGAACATTATAAGTATTTAAAGTAATGAAATATTTTTCTGTATCTGGAATATTTCTAAATAAAAGCAGAGCCTAATGAAATTTTTTTTTTAATTCAAGACACTGTAATTGTCTCCATTTATTGGTATACATAGGAACTTTTCCTGATTTTTACTCAACTTTTCTCTTGCCCTTCTCTCCTAGAAAAGACAATATTTTTTCCTAGATGATACATCTCTTTTTAGTGCAGAGTAATTAAATATTCAAAAGCAGTGTTGCTTGCTGCCAAGGCCTCTTAAGAATGTTCAACCATATTTTAGTTGAACTTGAAGAATTATAAAAATTTCCTTTTCACATTCCTCATACAACACTAAGATATTAATGCTGACCACGATGTGACTGTATTAATTTTAGTAAGAGTAGTTTCATATGCTAAGTAGTCTTGCAAATGACTGATAAAAACCACTATCATATCTTTGAGAATCTTGCAACCCTTTTTCATGTTGTAAGTGCCTATTCAAGTGGCAGGAATATTTTTTTAAATATTATTTGTATTGAAAAACACACCTGTCTCAGAGTATTTATAACTTTATCTGGGAAATATGTGCTATTGAGCATACTATGTATCTTTAATGCTTATAGTTCAAATTATATCTAGGTGATTGGAACCTTTCTAGAGTTAGGGTAAAACTTTATTTGCCTGAGGGAGTAGAGAAAACCACTTAGGAGAATGAGTCAATCAAACAATTATATAACATTTGCAAACATTCATTCTCCTCATTTGAATTTCAGTTCTGGAATTTCTCACAGTAGCAGATACTTAGAGTATTAGAATACATACTTAGATCAAAATCCTTGGACCCATTTTCCTCTGTCATTCTTTTTCCCTCCATGAAATTATGTCCTTATACAAAACATTTTTTAAAAATGAATAACTAGATTGAATTTTGCAAATTTAAAAGTATAGAATTGGGATGTTTTATTTAAAATAATTAAGATAAAATAAATTTTAAAGTATAATTTTATGAAAGTACTATCACCCCCAAGTTGTATCTTGCAAATTGTGTCTTATTATCACTCTCAATTTTCAGCATGAGAAGCAAAACAAAACTAAACAAAGCTAAAAACTAGAGGAAAGGTAATCTGTAATGAAACAAGAACAAAAACTCTTGAGTCTATATTGGTGGTGGAAAAGGCAGGTGGGAAAAGTAGATGAATACATACGTACAATTTAAAGTTAATCCAAAAATTTCATTGCAGTCTATAACACCAATCTCTAGAAATACAACAGTTGCCAGACATTGTTCATAGTGCTAATACTAATCAAATTAAAAGATGCTATTCTCTCTTCTGCTAGCCCCCTTTCCCTACATATACCATAATTAGCAATAAAATTGGAAACAACAGAAACAAGAAAATAAGTGATCCTGGAAAATCTACTAAATGGAGCACCATTTTCTAACAATTGTTTACTGGACAGGATTTGTTATGTGGTTGTGTGGTAACATTTTTTCCTTACCTTCCTGTTGGTTATGCACTGTGTTATATTTGTCTTGGGCAAAACATCTAGCATCTGATAGGAATTCTAAATGGCAAATGATAACATGATAGTTTCATTTATCTGTGTATCTTAATAGCCCCAACAAATAGCAAATAACACCACTTCTTTTTCCCAGAGGAGGAAGAGATATACAGATGAAAGCCGCTTAGGTGGCTGAGTTATGCGGCAAGGTCACGGAATCTTTCCCGGATAAATGGCCTTTTGGAGAGTTGGCAGTGCTGTGAAAAGAAACGAGAGTTCTGATGAGGAAATCTGGATTTGTTTCTCAGCACTGACTATGTGAACACATATCCTTGAGGAAGTTACTGAAAATCTCCTTGTGCTCAACAGTAAATTAAGAGGCTAGGGATAAATGATCTCAAAGCTCCTTTCAATTCAGGCATCTGTGAAATAATAATGGCACCTAAGACATAGCACTTAGCATGTGTCAGACCCTGTGGGACACTATCACTTTAAGAGCTTTACTTGGATTGTATAATTGTCAAACAACCTTGCGAAGCACGTACTATTATTAGTTGGATTTTCTGAGGAAAGTGAAACGTAGGGATTTAAGTTTCTTAAAGAATGTGACATGCCGGGAGCATCAGAGTTGCATTTTTAAAGGAGTTCTGCCTTCAGAGTCTGCCAGCTTAAGGGGCATGTCCATTCTCCCCCCACATTATTCACAAGCCAGGACTTAGGAAGTCACAGGTGTGTGAAACCTGCGCTCTCCCCTATTTTACTTTCTCCGAGTAGGTGGTTATTTGCCCATCAGTCTGGCTTTTGCTGCAGTGAAACATACTCCCTCTTTGGTTAGCATTTTCTGTCAGTTCTTCCTGCTTAGCTATAATCCAGNCTTTGGTTAGCATTTTCTGTCAGTTCTTCCTGCTTAAGAGTGGCACATCTTCCGATGGACTATTTCTACTGAGTATTTTCCAGAGCCTGCCTGTGAGGTCATTGACCATGGATCAGAGGGAAGGTTCACGGAAATTATAAATGAACAGTCAAGGGAGAGTCTTTTCTAGCAAAATTATAGGAGTGTCTCCTTAGGTCAAAGTCAAAGTAAGGATGAATTAACTCCCGAAGCAATTTTGAAAAGGTGAAATTCAATGATATTGCTGTTGTTGGACCAGGTGTTAAAATGTTATTGGGTGCTAATTTAATTTTCATCCTGTCAACACTCATCTGAACTGTAACAGCTGCTAAACACGGTTCCACAAGAGCAAACCATCCTCACAGAGGAAGCAGATGCCTAATCAATAGGGCTGATAGAAATGTATGGCTCAGCTAAGCAGCCTGCACAAAGGGGAATGAATCCCGTAGGGCTCTGTCTTACCTGAATGGAAACGAACTTTAAAGATAGTGGGACTATTCAAGCAGTAAGAACGGGAGACTGAAAGTCTTGGGTTGGCTTCCTACTGACTTTAAAAAAAAATAAATTATTCTGCATGACCTTGGATTAGAAGCCTTGGTTTCAACTGTCCTTAGCTTTCAGAGATATTGAGGATGTTGTTTCAAGTGCATTGCTGTCTTTACTGCTATTATGATCTAATGTGCCTTGCGCAATTCAGAATAAAAATCAACTGCTTCTTAAGAAAAACCACCTTCCTTTAAGTTCTGACATTAAGTTCTAATAAGGAGGATGGTAGTAGCATTTAATAACTGTTCTTTATTGTGCCTTGGGTGGGTAAGAATAGATGACTTGTAATTTGGAAAGGCATTTTGGATTTGAAGACTTTCTGGACTCCTATACTCACTACTACAGCGCAACATGTAATTTCACCTTCTGGAGATTTTCAAGCAGAAGGGCGGATTACTGTGTCTACACCAAATGTAATGTTACTAGAAACTGTAGTTTCGCCCGGCTGGGCGCGGCTCAGTGGTTGAGCGTCGACCTAGGATCCAGGCGATCGGGGTTCGATTCCTGGTCGGGGCACATGCCCGGGTTGCAGCCTCGATCCCCAGTCGGAGGCCTGTAGGAGGCAGCCGATCAATGACTCTCTCATCATTGATGTTTCTATCTTTCTATCCCTCTCCCTGGAATCAATAAAGATATGTTTNTCTCTCATCATTGATGTTTCTATCTTTCTATCCCTCTCCCTTCCTCTCCCTGGAATCAATAAAGATATGTTTAAAAANTCATCATTGATGTTTCTATCTTTCTATCCCTCTCCCTGGAATCAATAAAGATATGTTTAAAAAAAAAAAAAGAAACTGTAGTTTCACTATTTTCACTATTTAATCTCTTAAGGTTGATTATGCCATTCATTTAATAATTTTTATGTAAGTTAGGATGTGTCACTTAGACTATCACTTTTATTTATGAGTCTAAGATTTGGCTATAAATCCTTCTGGGGTTATGTGGTGGTGTGCCAGGGATTCTCTAAACTCTCCCAAACAGAAAGTTAAGGTACCCTGGAACTTCACTATTATTAGGTTAAGAATATTTTAAGTAAATGAAAGCAATTGGATTTAAAGGAGTAGAATACAAATTTTACACGGATATTAAAATGATGCACCTTTTTAAAAAATCTTTTTAAAAAACTTTATTTGTTGTTGAAAGTATTACAGATGTTCCCCATTTTCTCCCCTCTCCCCCCTGTCCCCATCTCCCCCCACCAGGTCTTCCCCTGTTTGTAGTCTGTGTCCATAGGCTGTGCATATATGCTTATAAATTCTTTGGTCAATCTCTTCCCGTCCTCCTTCCGCCTTCCCTCTGAGATTTGTCCGTCCGTTTCATGCTTCCATGTCTGCGGTCCTATCTTGTTTGTCAATATATTCTGCTGCACAGATTCCACATGCAAGTGAGATCATGCGATAGTGTCTTTCTCGGACTGGCTCCATCTTTTAAACAGTTTGAACATTGAGTAGCCCCCTTTGGCTTGTATAGAAACACTTGGCGATTATTCTCCTCTTAGGTGATTATCAGGAGAAAGGTTCACTTGGCTGCTTGTCTAGAATGTTCTGCTGGAACAGATCTTTCATTTTCCTGGGCTTGTTAAATGCCAAATAAAGCAAAACAACACAGAACAAAGAAACACCTGTCTCCTACTTATAACTTCACAGTGC